AGAATAGATTTAGGTTAGATACAAGGATAAGAGTCTTCTACAATCGGGAGGAGGGGTGGGGGGCACTGGAACTGGTTGCCCAGAGATGTGGTGGATGCCCCTTCCCTGGAGAATTTCAAAGCCAGGCTGCACAAGGCTCTAAGCAACCTGATCTAGCTGTAGATGTCCCTGTTCATTGCAGGAAAGTTGGACTAGATGGCCTTTAACTGTTCTTTCCAAATCTAAGGATTCTATGATTGCCCCAAAAGAAGGCTTCTCATCAAAATATATTTGGAAGTGACCAGTGACCAATCTTTTCAGCTGAGCAAGCAGTAAGCAGTTGTTGAACATCTATGGTGTCACAACTGTACAATATGTTTCCGTGCTGGTAGAATACAAAGTAACAATGCTTACATTACATACCCAGAGGAACACTTGACTTTGGAGAGTCATATATACTTTGTTCCAATTAGGAAAGGAGAAGCTTCTATTTCTCTATTTAAATTCTTATCCACAAATAATCTATGCAGACATAGAACTTCATATCAACTTCAATCAGGTAATATGCTAGAAAATACCACGGTTATGACTGTTGATTTCCTTTTCTAGATCCCTTTTGGAACAACGACATTTAATGGATTTGCAAGATTGTGCATTAATGTAATAATCACTCTGTTGCAAATAACACCCAATCAGCACAGGGTTTCAAGCTGTTGAACTGCTCTCCAGCTGCTCATATTCACTTGACAGTTTGTCTATTGGCAATGTCAGTTCAAAGGAAAAATTACTGCTTACTAAGTTACAGCAGTAATACTTCTTTTACTCACTAGGTCAATAGTACAAGCTTTGGAGATAACACTCCAATTTACTCTTGGATAATTAGTAAAATAGCAAATCCTTATTTGCAATGTCAAACAACTAGGAGAGTCAAGAGAGAGCACACAAACACTTCCTTTTGTCAACCTTCCCAGTAGAAAGCATCATTTTCTGAGCCAGTGTATTGAAAAAAAATATGATTGAAAGTTCCTGCAATATTCCTGTTTCCTAAAAAAAATCCTGCTCAGAACATGTCACAATTCCACCAGCTTAAAACCCACCATAGTATAACATGCACAATAGCACTGCCAAGTCTAAACAGCCAGAGCAGTAAATTAAATGAACTGCTCCCATGCTTTATATAATACACATTCTCTCTCAAAGTTCTTCCCAAGATAACCATCATCTTCCAGTAGTAATGCATTCCTAGTTTCAAGGTCTTAAATTCATTAGGCGGAGCTTTTACATACACCATAAAACCTATCTTATAAAATGCCAACATTGGTGGTCATGCTTAATATCTCATTGTTGAAGACAAGTAATTCATACAGGTGATACCACCTACTAACAGAGGAAAAAGCAGAGAGCATGCAAGGAAAGGTACAGAATGGAAGGAAGAAAGGAAATGTAAGCTGGGAAAAACTGAGCTCTGCTTCTAGTTTTTAAGACTACTCTTTTCCATCCTTTGGTCAAATAATAGCTTTGCTTTGCTTTCATCTTCCCTTTCACTCACATCTTTAGAATGGGAGAAAACTTTAGCCACCTAACCACAGCAAAACAATAGTTATCACAGCTATTATAGACAAAGAACAAACAAGAATGATGACTGTTACTACAAGAGGCAAAAACAGACCTCAACGCCACAACCTCATCTTGGGTGGCATCCCACTGACTTTGCATAGCCTACTGCCTTCACTGGGCATTACTTTTATCAGTGAACAACCACAGACATCAGTCATGGGATATGCTGCAAAAATGGGATTTGAAGAAACGCTTGAATGAGCAGGTTTCTATTTCTGACTTTAATCCTTGGTTTTGAATTTAGGCAGATGACAAAATGGTCTTCTTGTGCCTACTGTTGCATGGGGCTGTGACTTAAATTTGTTTGCCAACATATTAAATTTACTCAAACACATCCTTTCACTCTAAGCACCAAACACTAAAAATTCAAGCAGAAAGCTACAGCATTCTCACACTATGACATCATCCTGTCTGGTATACTTTAATATAATTTGGAAACAAAATTTGATTAACTGAGAGCAGCATAAAGAGGATACATTAAAGATCCAAATTGAGGACACTTATCCAGTAAAATGAAAAAAAGAAAGCACAGTACAGTGCCCAGTGAATTTTACAGAACAGGCCTTGCTGGCTGCTCCAATGCTCTGTCAACAACTAACTTTAACATAACAGATGAGTGAAAGTAATCTCCAAGTCCAAGCACTGGGCTTAAGATTCTCCGGTATTTGTGGACACACAAACAACCCAAGGACAACTGTACCATACAGACTTGTAAATTAAGCTGTACATTCCCCACATGGCTTCAGCAATGACACATTGGGTTCCTGGCTTACGAGCAGAAAACTTCCCTCTACCAAAGAAAAGTGCCTGCTTCCAAGGGTTTATATTTGCACTTCTCATTACAAGATGCTCACTGTTTACAGCATCCTAATCAGTAACAGGAAAATGCCAAAGACTTTGTGTTAATTCATACAATGCCATTTGTATGAAGGCTGTTTCCTAAGTTTATAATCATTGTCAGAAATTGTGGTAGAAATACTGTTGCTATTCTTGTAGCTTAAAAAAAAAAAATAAATCAACTACTTCCAAATCACTACTCATCAAGGCCCATTATGTTAAATTAACTCTCTCTGCTATGGCAGCTTAACTACTGGGGAACTTCAAGAGGTGTTGAACACCTGCATTTCAGAAGAGCCACAGGGAAAGCAAACAGTTACAAGTAATTCCTGGAGTTAAAAGGTAATAACACTTGATTTAAGGACCTAAGGCTAACAGCTTCAAGAGGAAGCTGTCAAGCATCACTCATACACAAAATAGAGTGCCTCCACCTCCTCAACAGCTATCTGTGCTATAAATCAAACTATTCCTATCATTGGTAAGAAACTCTCCTAGCTAATCTACAGCGATGTTTTATCTTGAATAATGCTAAACAGAATTTCTGGGGCTGGTTCAGGGACATGGGAGAAGATCCAGAAAACTGAAGTCTATCCTCCTGTTTCCTTAAAAATAACTTTTGATAGAATGTATTACTAGTGTATTACTAGTTTCAGAATGAAAATTCGAAGTACTTTAAAAATCATAGAAATGCTGAGCACACACTGAGAAGTTAGATTTGTATGGCACACCTATTTACAGAACTGACAAGAGTGACATCTCCCAGTCCCCACACACATTCCTAAAAGCATAAACGTATCTACATTACCATCATGAGTACGTCTCACAGGACGATGAGCTTAACTAAGTTTCATGCTTCAGAGGTCTTGTTTGCAGACTAACAACGTGATCCAACACAAAACACACAGAATACGTGATTACAAGACCAAGTTAAGCAGTTTCTTGTTAGGACAGCTCAGCTTTTCAAGTTTGAGTCATTTTAAGGGATCTGAAAATAACAATAGCCTGAGGCAAACACACATATTTGTTTTCCCAACACAAACCAAGATTAAATAAAAAAAACACATAGCCGGAGGCCACAGAAAAGAGGAAGAAAAAAAAAAAAGAGATGAACCGTGTTTAAATAACCTAAGACTGAAGAAGTCATCCTTACTTCCCATAGCACGCAGAGCACAGCAATTGAAGCTGCAGGAAGATGCTGCTTCCCCACGTGCATCTTTTTAAATACACTCATTCTTCACCCAGCATGCACACATACACACTCACCACTTTGTCCATGAGCTTCCAGGTCTTCTCCACAGTCCTTCGGTCGGCAGCTGCCTGCTTGGGGGGGCCCACAGCATCTTGAATGGCATCGATGAAGCCCAGGATCCGTCCTTTGCGTGGGTTCCGGCCGTTCTGGGAGTTGGCCATCTGGGAACTAGGCTGGCCGTGGGGACAGAGAACAGAGACTCACAAGGTGCTCCAGAACATCTTGTCACGCAGCCAGCGAGGTAACACTTCCTTCTTCACAGGCAGGAAAGGGCAAGAGCAGGGCACGTTTAGGAACAACTTTAACTTCCCGTGACAAACAACCTAAACCCACCTGGGCTGTGTTTATACCGGAGGAGGCCATCGCGGATTTATTGTCAACGGCCCCGCCAAGGGCTGGGAGGGTGGGGACGACAAAAACGGGAGACGAGCCGCGGCCAAAGGGAAGGAGAGGAGAAAATAAATCAGCGCGGAGCGAGGGAACAGCCAGAGAGGCCGCGGACAGGCAGACAGACAGCCAGACACTTACATACAGAGCGGCAACGAGCGCGTGCTCCTCCGCCTACCCGCACCCCAGGGCGCAGGGCCGCGGCTGGCGGGGCGTCTCGGCTCTCCCGCTTACCGCCCCGGTGGGCGGCCGGACCGCATCCCGCACCCGCCGCTACCGCTGCGCTGCGCCGGCCGTCAACGAGCGTCGGCGATCGCCGCCGATATACGCGCGAGCTCTTCCCGGAGCCGAGCCCTGCGGCGCTGCCGCTGCCCCGCGGACAAGCCCGGAGCGCCGCTGCCCCGCCGCCCTGCCCGCCCAGCAGCCCTACCCGCCGCTGTGTGCTCGCGTGTGCGGCGAGCGAGCGTTCGGCAGCAACGCGCTAGAGAAGAGATAGAGAGAGGCACACGCACAGATCTGTATGCAGCACAGCTCACAGCCCCAGGCACGCTGTGGTCTCCGCGCGATCCGAGAAAGTGAGGCTGGCGAAGCTCCTGCTGCCCCGTTCCCTCCCCCGCCCCGCAGCGTTCTGGCGGCCGCTCCTCTCCTCGCAACATGCCCGCCCCGAGGCCACGGCTCGGTCCCACGCATGCGCGCCGGGAGGGGAGTGGGCTGCGACTTAGTGAAACCCCGCCCTGGTCCCTCGGGAGGGAACTGCCGCCCTCCGCGCAGCCAATCAGAACACAGAGGTGGCTTTGCTTGACGTGGAAGCCAGCAAGTGAACTTGAAGCTGGACAGGGGCGGGGAAGCGGGGGCCGGCGATGTTGAGAGTGATAGGAAAACAGGCCAGTGGGAGGGCTGGAAGGAGGGAGGAGGAGCTTCCGGTCCCGCCCCCTCACGCGTGCCAGCCCGAGGGGGTGGCTTGAAGCCCTCGGAGGCTGAAGTGGCCGTGATGAGGTCTGAGGGGCTTCGGTTTTGGGGGGCTGTGTTGCATGGTGCGGGGCTCTGGGCAGTGCATCCTCCTCGTGGAGCTGCTGTGCTTCTGTTTCGTTGAAGCACGCAATGTGTGTTGAGAATCAGTTGCCTTCTGGTGTTTTCTGCCTGTACAGCTCTTGTTCACACTTGTGAGAGTTTTGTTGTGGCCACAAAGGGCAGGAGCTTCTCTTCCTTCTTCACGTCTGTTTTCTCCTCTTATGAGAAAGAGAGGTTTTTTTCTTTTTAAGCCAGCAGTGAGGTTTCCTGTGTTAAGGATGGGCCAGAGAGCTGCAGATGCTGACAGCAGTTCCTCAGGGCAATGAGTGGATATATGTTAAAAACTTCCCCGTGTGTTTACTTTATATGTGGGCTTTCTGTGGGGGTATGGTAAATAAACCCCGACTGATGAATGCCACGTTTTTTTTCAGGGACCAGTTTTTCTCAAATGTTTATGTTACTGGTGAACACTGGAGAGGAGAAAGTGAAGCGTAGGCACATGGGGTGCAAGGCGTTTGACTTCAGAGCCCTTTGAAGACGTTCCAGGGTGTACTTACATTTTGTGAGTGTTAATCTTACAATTAATTATCATACAAAGAAGCCAAAGCAGTTTAAAGCTTTGTGGTTATTTTACGAAGATAATTATTTTAGAGACTGCTTTTGATTTTCCGAATGTCAGTAAGTGTGGGATTTCTGTAGTTGTTTCTAAACGTTCTTGATTTCCCCCCCCCCTAATTTTTAGCTTTTAGTAAAACAGCAGTTGAAGAAAAACAATAGAAACGCTACTGTGGAGCATTTCAGTGTTCCTTTTATTTATAATGTCATTTACAGGTATTTTTAATGTAGGTATCTTTCTGTTGATATGAAACGTGTCAAGTTACTACTGTGGGCATAGGTACAACAACTAAAATCTCATCATTAATGTCTCCCTCAAAGATCATTGTTCCTTTTTAGCTTTAAAATACAATTTGGCAGGCACTTGCCTTAAGTGGGTTGGAAGCTTCTCAGTTCATTGTAGGCTTTGGATTATTCTCTTTTCTATGTTGATTTCAGCATTGATTTAATACTCTTCACTGGCAGCTCTCCCTATCTTTTTTTTTTTTTCCATCTGGAGCTCTGCTTGCGTAAGATTAGGTCGGTAGTGACTGCTCTTCCTCCTGCTGTCTTTCTCTTGGTTGTGGGTAAATCAGATGATCTAACGTATTTTCATGACCTTCTTAAATTTTTCCTTATTTTTGTTTGTTGTTCTGCTTTCATTGTTATGTCATTCTCTTCATATTCTGTGCACTGCCAAGAGCTGTGGTCTATGAGCTGGACTTGGTTGCCGTGTAGGGCTGAGTCATGTTGTCTTGCAGTTCATCCGAGTGCCGAGCCAGCAGGAATAAGCAGCTTGGTTTCCTGCATCCCTGTGTGTATGTGTGTTGTGCTATTAAGCAAAAAGCCAGCTGTATTAGAAAAAGGAGTGGTTTTCAGAAAACCTCTTTTTTTCATTGTCTGTGCTGTACAGTAAGTACAGATATTCTGGGAAATGGCATCCTCAGAGGATTATATGAATTTATGTTGGAAGCTAGCTAGCTGGAACAAGTGAGTGAAACAGACACCTCAAGCTTCGGTATAAAGAATGTTTGAGATGGGCTAAACTTCTGTGTGCTACGCCATGAAAGGACTGGAAGACACAGCATCGCCTTTGTGCTTTCAAGCATGCAGAGTGAAGGGACCATTTGATAAAAGGCAGCTGAGAGAGGAAGAGCAGGCAGCTGCTGTGTGTTTGAAGTTCAAGGGATATGGTTGTTAGCAGTGGAGAACTTAAGGACAGAACTTGTCAAGTGGATCTACAGGGTACATGAGGATAAAAGGCCCTTGAAAAGATGGTGGCTGAAGGCACTGGCCAGCTGGCTTATTTTGGTGCAGGCCTGTGCATTGTCCAGAGGAGCATGTGAGAGGGTAATCGCCTTGCACAACTTTGTGCACTTCAGTAGCCTAAATTAAGAAGCTAGTCTGCTGTATGCAGATCTGTTGAAAGACCACAAAAAGACTGCAGGATGATTCAAAGCAAAGAGATAGATTCAGACACTTTGAATCTCTGTGGGGAAGAACAAAAAAAGATTTTCTGTTCAGGCTAAGTGGAAGGGTTCTAGGTAAGCTTGATACCTAATTAAGGTCCTCAACCTTGTTAAGTTTTTATTCAATTGTGTTGTGATGATTGGATGGCTGTTGTAAGGATTTGCTGAAGTCCTTTAATAAAAAGGATGGAGAGAAGGTGGCTGTGAGTCAAGGTATGATAGACAGAGAAATAAAGATGGTAAGTAAAAGAAGCCTTGTTTGGTACTCCTAAATCCCTTTGTAAGGTAAGGATTTCAGACCTGGCAATTTTACTGAAAGGCAAATTAATACCATTTGTTGAAAAAGCAAACTGCTGGATAGAAAGGGAGGAAACAGAACTACAGGATATTAGAAGTAAACTAACGTATTTATCCACTGTGATTTTTACTATAAGTTAGCTGGCTTCTTTTTGCTCTGTTGGTGACTCATTCCTCTGGGGTGATTAGGTTGAATGAAGCTTCGTTGCTGCTCTTGAATGAAATTAATTAGAGCCATTGACAGTAGTTGGAAGCAAGAGAGATTTTGTTTTTTGCTTACCAGCCATTAAATATTATTGATTTTCTTCAGTCAGTCAATGTATGTGGTTTGGAAGCACTATTCATTTGTGTGTTTTCTTTTGCCCCCATCTAATGTAACTTTTGGAAAAATATGCTGAAACACTAGGACAATGAAGAGAGCAAAACGTACATTTTACTTAAAGACACCTAAATAAGATGAAATATTGCTCTCGTATGATATAATGTTCAAAGGTAAATGTAATCTACACTATGCTGAGTTAAAGGCTATGGTAGCAATACTTATAAAAGCTAAAGTCAGTTATCTTGAATCTTGAATGTGAAACCACTTCTCACGTTGTAGCAGAACACCTTGGCTATCCCAGAATGCTTCAGCTTTCAAAGTCGTCTCCTTGATATGTTGATTGGGTGCCTAAAATATTGTGAAAAGACAACTTCTCAGGGGATGTGGCCCACTTTGGTGTACTGTTAGGCACTGCTTTAATGGCTGAACTATGAAAAGGTCCTGCTCTTTGCAGCGGGTGCAGTGCCCCAGCAGAAAGCAGCTGGCCACTCTTTGCAGGGAAGCTGAGATTGTAAGGTAAAACCTGGTATTCTTTTAGTGCCTTCTACCAGTCTGTTCTGTATGAAAACAAAACAAGTGCATGCATGCACGCACACACAAAAAAAAGCTGGTAGCAGCTAATGCCTTTAAGTTCTGGAGCTATCTGCTTAGGTACAATTTATTTAGCCCATTCTAAAAATGCACTAAGTCTTGTGTGTTGCCTGTCTGCTCCTGTCATTATCCAGTTATTACGTACTCACCTTTAATAACTCTTCAGAATACAGAGCAAATGGAAAATCCTTTCATGCTGTAGTTTTACAACGCCCTCAAGGATGCCAGGCTCTTGAGATGTCAAATGAAGTAATTTATTTATGAGCTGGGGGGTTGTTAAGCTGCAAGCTACCATTTTTGGATAACTTGTAAATCAGATCGCAATACACTTACTTGTTTTATCATAGCAAACTCGGAGATATAAAGCAAAACAGATCACCAGTGGCACTCAGAACTCTCTAACTGATAACCACAGTTGGTATAATAACAGATGCTTTTCCTACCTGACTGCATAGTTACTTCAAGAAAATTGGTGATGATAATGGCAGTTAGTCATTAGCTTACTATCCAATTAACTCATTCACTTCTAACAATCCCTTAACTGTTTTTCCTCCATGTACTTATGTTCTTAATGGCCATCAAGTCCTCAGACCTGCATATTCTCAGTTTTGTTTCTGGTTTCTAGAAATCCAAAAGATGAATTTCATGCATGAAATATTAATAAATTCATCCCATTTTGCTGTGGAATTACTGTAAAAAAACGATAATAATAAAAAGCTGATTTTCAAAGTTTCTATGTAGAAACTTTGCATTGTAGATACCACTCTTTGCTTCAGCAGGCTGTTGTGGTAACAGCTTGTAATACGTTGTTGCTGCACTAGTTCTCTGCTGAGGATTTACATACTCTTTTTATTCTTGACTTAGAATGACAAGCTAAGCTTGACTATGCTTATAAATGAAATGGGCCAGACAGCGTTCCTGTCCCTGAGGCCAGGTAGCATGGCATGATATGGATGTTAGCCGCAATTCTTATAAAATTCCTACACCACAACTCCTATCAACTCAAGTACCTGCAAGCAGGGAACAATCTCTGACCTCAGCTAACCCTGAACCTCCCTGGAACCATTTGGGAAAAAACCAGCTGACGTGGACCAAAACTACCAGGGAGTAACCTGATAATTTAACATCATAAATTGCCATAGCCTTAGATTGTCACAAGTAGTTACTACAGACACATATAATGGTAGTGTATGTGCATATCAGTTACACAGCTGCATACACGTAGGGTAACACGAGGCCTTTAATCTCTGTTAACATTGGTTTGACTTCAGATAATAAGTTTATTTTCAAATGGCTTCTTGAATGTGAGAATTGAACTACTTAAGGGAGGAAATACACTTAAGAGTTGGAAATACAATGGCAAGAATTTTATTGACTAACGCTCTCAAGCTTATGTTTTCAAATCTCTCATTCGTGCCAAGGAGAAAATCAACTCAAATATAATATTGTTTCCCATGCAAAGCAGAACAATTTCCTTTATTATGAGCAATTTTCCTTACCATACGTTATCTGGTTGCAGACTGAGTATGAAAACTAAGTGTAGGGCCAGGCCTATGTTTGTCTATACACCTTCCTAATGAGTTCATTTGCTGTAAACTAGACAGCCCACTTCAGAACACATCCTTGCTGTGATATATGGTAATAAAAAAAAGCACATCAGCTTAATTTAAAAACAACCTAACCCTCAGGGAGCAATTTTACATGAGTTCTTCTGTTTCTTTTCTGTTATTAATTTCATCCATCTGCCAGAGCAGGTGCAAAAGCTTTAACTAAGTTCTATCACTTTAGCACTAACTATTGAATGTACCCCATCTGTCTTATAGCATAAAAATTATCAATTTCAAAGACCTCTTCTTTTTTTTTTTTTTTTTCTTAACTCAGTTCCTGCCAGGTACCATTATTTTAGTTTTCCCTTGGACTGATAAAACAATAGCAGCAATATTTGTCTTGAACATCCTATTTAATAACCAGTCCAAATACAACTGGGAGTTCTTGTTTGACTCGAGAATTAAGAGCTTTCTTTTTTTTTTTTTTTTTTTCAAATCAAATATCTCTGCTTTCACAAGAATTTCTGAGATTTCCATATTGTGGTAAATTGTTGTAAAATATATGCCTAGGGACTTTCCATTGCCATCCTTCTCTGGAGCCGCACATCTACAGGAAACAAGCTTGTGTTTGTTGAACACAGTTTAGCATAGAAAAGACTTCCTCTGTGCTTCTGCAAATCTAAATAACCTCAATTAGTGTGTGTGTGTGGAAGGCAGTGGAGTGGGAGGGTGCTGGTCTGTG